AAACAATACCCCTTGAAGGTCCCCCATTAATTTTTGGGTCGCACATTGACTGGGTGGGAAATTTTTTTTTTTTTTTTTTTTTTTTACATTAAAGTAGATCAATTTCTGTATGTTTTAAAACTCCTAGTCATAGTGTAATAAATAAATAATTAAATAAATTCACATAATTTCATAATTACAAATTAGGGAGAGTAACATTTTTTTTCTTCGATAATAAAGTTACAACAGACAACATATCAAACAAGCAATAATATTACCTAGCTGCATGCATAGACACAGTTTTCTAATGAAGCACTCACTCTGAATAAGGCTTCAACATTTTGTAAAAGTGCACTTACTTCTGCCACGATTATATATTTAGACTCTAGGAGGCGCTGTTTATTCTGTAAACTTTGGCTTTCCCCTGTAAATCGTCGTATAAACTTGATGGATTTTAAACACTATTGAGATACTGGAGGCTCAAATAAAACATGATTTATTTTTAAGCTATATTATTTACAGTATATAGCCTTTATTTTTAAATTTTCTGAAAAAAAAAAAAAAAAAATATATATATATATATATATATATATATATATATATATATATATATATATATATATATATATATATATATATATATATATATATATATATATATATACAGTACAGACCAAAAGTTTGGACACACCTTTTCATTCAAAGAGTTTTCTTCATTTTCATGACTATGAAAAATGTGTGAAGCAACTGAAAATATGTCTTATATTCTAGGTTCTTCAAAGTAGCCACCTTTTGCTATGATTACTGCTTCGCACACTCTTGGCATTCTCTTGATGAGCTTCAGTCACCTGAAATGGTCTTCCAACAGTCTTGAAGGAGGTCCCAGAGATGATTAGCACTTGTTGGCCCTTTTTCTCGATTGGGTTCAGGTCCGGTGACTGTGGAGGCCAGGTCATCTGGCGTAGCACCCCATCACTCTCCTTGGTCAAATAGCCCTTACACAGCCTGGAGGTGTGTTTGGGGTCATTGTCCTGATGAAAAATAAGTGATGGTCCAACTAAACGCAAACCGGATGGAATAGCATGCTGCTGCAAGATGCTGTGGTAGCCATGCTGATTCAGTTTGCCTTCAATTTTGAATAAATCCTCAACAGTGTCACCAGCAAAGCCCCCCCACACCATCACACCTCCTCCTCCATGCTTCACGGTGGGAACCAGGCATGTAGAGTCCATCTGTTCACCTTTTCTGTGCTGCACAAAGACACGGTGGTTGGAACCAAAGATCTCAAATTTGGACTCATCAGACCAAAGCATAGATTTCCACTGGTCTTATCTCCATTCCTTGTGTTCTTTAGCCCAAACAAGTCTCTTCTGCTTGTTGCCTGTCCTTAGCAGGGGTTTCCTAGCAGCTATTCTACCATGAAGGCCTGATTCACACAGTCTCCTCTTAACAGTTCTTGCAGAGATGTGTCTGCTGCTAGAACTCTGTGTGGCATTGACCTGGTTTCTAATCTGAGTTGCTGTTAACCTGCGATTTCTGAGGCTGGTGACTTGGATGAACTTATCCTCCGCAGCAGAGGTGACTCTTGGTCTTCCTTTCCTGGGGCGGTCCTCATGTGAGCCAGTTTCTTTGTAGCGCTTGATGGTTTTTGCGACTGCACTTGGGGACACTTTCAAAATTTTCCCAATTTTTCGGACTGACTGACCTTCATTTCTTAAAGTAATGATGGCCACTCGTTTTTCTTTACTTAGCTGCTTTTGTTTTGCCATAATACACATTCTGACACTCTATTCAGTAGGACTATCAGCTGTGTGTCCACATGACTTCTGCACAACACAACTGGTGGTCCCAGCCCCATTTATAAGGCAATAAATCCCACTTATTAACCCGACAGGGCACAGCTGAGAAGTGAAAACCATTTCAGGTGACGACCTCTTGAAACTCATCAAGAGAATGCAGAGTGTGTGCAAAGCAGTAATCACAGCAACAGGTTGTTACTTTGGAGAAACTAGAATATAAGGCGTATTTTCAGTTGTTTCACACATTTTTGTTAAGTATATAATTCCATATGTGTTAATTCATAGTTTTGATGCCTTCAGTGTGAATCTACAATGTCAATAGTCATGAAAATAAAGGAAACTCATTAAATGAGTAGGTGTGTCCAAACTTTTGGTCTGTACTGTATATGGCCACGAAAAAGCTAAAAAGAAAAAAGTTTTATTATTATTATTATTATTATTATTATTATTATACATTTTCAAATACAAAATAGACATTTCTTGTGAGTTCCCTAATGTTTCCGTCTGGGATGTTGACATTCCGATGTTATTTCTGTCTTATGATTAAAAATTTGGTTTTCAGTTCTTATGGTGTAAAAAGGCTGTACTAAGACAGATTCAAAATTAAACTTCAGTTTAAGGTTCATATTTTATTGTGGAAGATAAAAAAAGTGAAAAACAACATGAAGAAAACGTTATTATCTCATGTCAAATATAAAGGGAAATAATTTTGTAAAAATTGTTAAGCACAATTTTAAGGTTTGTGTCAAACAAATAAACAAACACTTTCGTAAATCAGTGCAAAACGGAGAAATTCTACAGATGAGAAATAATATCACAGCGTTTCAATAATTTCAAAAGAGAAGCTGCAAAATGTTTCAAATCTGTACATATCAAACAGACAAAATTAATCTGTTTCTGCCTTTCTTTTACTCTCAGAGTCTTTCTCCTCTTTCTCACTTTTTACACTTGAGTCCGGCGTGGGGCCCTGAAAAATTAGCATATTTCTCCTGTTTTGTGAATTGCTTGACAAATGCGTAATTTTTGAAGTCAATCTCATTGGAAAAATAAAAACAAAAGCTTGAAGCACTCACTAAAAAAGTGGAGGTAGAGAATCGACACAAAGTTTCATTTTTACAAAGAAATAAAATAAAAAGCCTTTAAGTCTTCAAGAAAAGTAAAACCTTTCAAATGTGTAAAATATCCTCCCTCACCGTGGTTTATTCTCCATCCTACCGTCCGATAAAACGTACAGCAATTTCAAACGCAGAACCGCGTTCCTTAACAGCTTAAGCGCCCATGCCGCAAGACTGTCAAACTCCTACTGGTCCTTTTATTATTGTGGTATATACTTACACTGTCTTCTCTTTTAAACTTTTTTTTTTATCTGTTGGGAGCCTTGCAACAAAATTTTGCTCAATATGTATGCTGTGAATATGCAGCAGAATGACAGTCTGTCTAAAACAAGTAGTACTATGAACTACCTGACAAAATAAAGTGCCTTTACAAAAGCAGGAATTTAAAAAGATAAGTGAAGCAATAGAAGAACTAGTACCTAAATCTTGCTAGTGCAGTTTAAAAATAGATTTTTTTTTACATAAAAACATGTAAAGTATTTTTGACAAAAAATGATCAGCAGCATTAACCAGATGTTTGAATAGTGTTGGTTCTAAAAAATATCCCCTATCCTCTTATTGGCACTGGTTCCACAAGATGCTATGAAGCTCGTATGAAACAATCCATTGACATTCCAGTGTGTATCTGTTAGCAAAATGCACCTGTTAGCTGCATATTGATGCTGTGACTTCTAAGGTTAAAAAGACACTCAAAATGCTGGAGCTGATAACACAAAATATTGTACATTTATGGTAATTGCAAAGAAAAAAAAAAAAAAAAACCTTAAATTTCCTAATCAATGCCAATGCAATCGTTATGAGATTGATATGCTTCCACAATATTAATTTTGTGAAAGCATCCTGAAAGTATGTCTTTTCTTCATAACAGCCTCATAACTCTTCTCAATTGCCTCCATCGGCGTTTTCACTTCGTTACATGCTTCACTTCCAATAGCACCACCTTGAATTCCCCCTAAAGCAGCTGCAGCTAGCACAGCAACACCTGCCGCTACACCGCCAGCCACGACTGCCACCTCATTTCCAACTGCTGCAGGTGCCATCGTTTTTAGGTTTTTCACGTGTTTCATCACCTGGGCTGTATTCACAACTTTCATTACAACTTCCAATAGCGCTGCCACTCCGAAAAATGCCCCCAACAAAGCACCGGTGGCAGTACCCACTAACTGGATCAGAAATTCATTAGACACAAACGTTTTAGCCCGCTTCCTGATCTCCTGTGGGGGTAAATACTCTGCCACCTCTCTAATCTGCTTTTCTTCCTTCTGGATCCTTTCTTCTACGTGCTGCAGAACCGCATTGGTGTAGTAGGATCCGTTTTTTTCCACCATCATCTTGTCTACTGTCTGAAGGAACGCCTCCAACTGGACCTGGTTGTTCCTGTAATCATCTTGCCCTTCTCCGTTCCAGTGTTTATTATCAAAGACATGGCACCGACCTCCGCACTTCTTCACCAGATTACTCAGATTCTTATTCTCATTGACAAACTCTTCGATTTTCATCCCTTCTTGGAGCTGCTCGCCGTGAGTGAACACGATTACAGCGTATTTCAGAGCATCCTCTGAGAAATGATCGCATATTTTTGTGATAACCTGTTGCTCATGCTTTGTGAATCTGTCAACTCTAAGTAAAATGAGGAAGACGTGCGGTCCAGGTGCGCACTCCGTGAGGCAACGCATTATCTCCGGCTTCAGCTCCTCTTCCGACCTGTCGGTGTCGAAGAAACCAGGTGTGTCGATCAAAGTGAGGCGTCTGCCATTAACTGTTCTGGTCTCTGATTGACATCTTCTTGTTCCAGCATTAGGTGAATGGCATGAAGTAAAAACTTCCTCCCCCAGGATGGTGTTAGCTAGGTGGCTTTTCCCAATTCCAGTTTTCCCCAGCAGAACGATCCTTGTTGGACTGGAGACTGGAGAAAACATTGAGATTGAGGATATGAATACAGAATATATTTTTGAACCTATCAGTACTGTCATTTATTTTCTTGCTTTCTAATATTTATTTGATCATCCAGACTGAAAACAAATTTAATTTAAATCTTACAGTTCTCTACCCACCCTGATCATTTTCAGTAGATCTGTTGTACTGCATACCTTCTTGTACACACTTGAAGATCTGTAGGGACAAGACATTCAAATTTAGTACAAGTCGCAACATATAGCATCCACCTCTCCAATACAGACATACACTTTATTGCCGAAATTATAGTCATTTTCACTTACACACACCTAAACCAAATGACATGCAACTTTTATTTCAAAGGTTGCAAAATAATTTGCCCCACCTTTATTCAGCAACAACCATCTCAGTTCTTTCAGAAAAACTACAATGGTTAGACGTGTCTACAGAAATGTTTGACCGTTCTTACACCAAATCAATTGTGAGATCAGACAAGAAGGCGAGCATTGTCTTAGATATGATTGGCAAAAAAAATAATATATATATAATAAATAAAACATAACTATGCATTAGCTAATATTTTATTTTTTTAACAGTTAACCCTTCTGTTGTGAATTACTTAAGAAAAAAACATGTTTATTGTACTTGACCTCCCAACCCTCTTGATCTGGTAGAACAAGGAGAACTTGAACTGGTGCGCTGGTGGTTCTCTCCTGCTCAAATTTAGAGATCTCCTCCAGTAAAACCCTGGCTACTACAGTGATTGGGAAACCCAGAGCAATGCCAGCCCCAAGTGCAGGTATTGCTACAGATCCAAACCCTTTGCTTTCACAGGAAGTCAGAATTTGGTTGATGCCCAGTCGGAGAACCTGCAAAAATTAGTATTAGAAACAAGCTGAACATTGTTTTGAACTCATCCGGACAGACTAATTGTAGTATATATGCTCAGTTGTCTCACCTGAACCGCGGTTCCATTGTCTTCTGCATCCCACCGAACAAGGCTGAGGAAGAACACGGCACCAAAAGGAACTCCAGTCAGATTTTCCTCTAGAATGAAGTCACCAGGCCCCATTTCACCTTCTGACTTCCCTATAATCGTTTTAGTCACACGACGACCAATTGCTTTACTGAGAATGTTTCCAACACGAGTAGACAGAGGATCGTTGAAGACCATTGGAGACACCACTGCATCTGTCTAAAAACAGTTCCAAACCAAAGGTTACAAATTGGCATGTGCTAAAATAGCTTACTGCCAACAGTGCTGTACAACTCCAATAATCAATCCTCTTAAGAGACAAGAAACTTTTCAACATTAATTCTCACCTGCTGGTTTTCAATGGTCCCCTGAACAATCTCAACCTGGACGAGACCTTTGGGAGCTCCAGCTGTGGCTCCTCTGGCTACATTTTGTCCAGCAGAATCAAACTCCCTTCCAAATGGATCTTCGCTTCCTGTACGGTAGGCAGCACTTTGCCCCAGAAGCTGCCTGTCACATGCTTTTTGCATGGCCCTCACCACCTTTCCAGAGCTCTCACCGAAATGTCGCTCCTCCTCTACGTCCAACAACTCTGCGTTTACCAGAGTACCTCCCACACCCGAGGTCCTCAATCTGCTGTCTTCTCCTCTGTAGTATTGAGCTTCAACCTCATCTGGATTTTTATCAAAGTGGACCAGAGTACCATCACACTGTTGGTCTTCCTCTCCTTTCCAGTCTCTAGCTTCACCCACTGCATCAGTTAGGTCAGGAATGGACTGCTGGCTCTGTTGAAAGCATAACAATAGCAGAATTTACAAAGTAAACATATATAGGAAGGTCCCATGTAAAAATCGTAGCAGATATATAACTAGATTTTCTAGTCATATTTAAAACTGGAATAATATTTTAGCATCCTAAAAGTATTTTCTTTGAACATTAACAGCTTTCTTTGTCATTCTTCTTCCCATTTTACTTTTCTATCACCAAACAACTTTTACGCCATCAGTCAATAGGTTGGTAATTATTAGTTTATGGGAGTTTCACGGTAAATGTTAAAGATTACTTTCTCAGGTCATCTTTTCAGGCTAAGCTGTAGGCAAGCCAGGCTTATTTCTTTAGTACTATGGATGGATGGATGGATGGATGGATGGATGGATGGACATGGTTTTAAAGAAATAAGCTGGCCTTCAGCTTGGCCATTTATCATGCTCAAAGTTCAAGTGTGTTAACTATTTAGGTGTCTCTTTGCTAAAGCAAAATACTACTTATTTAATGCTTATCAAACATCAGTCTAATCAACTGTACTTTTCAAAATTGACATGCTGTTTATTTTTTTAACACCTCCTGAAAGAAAAAGATGAAGAATTGAGATGTGGATCAGACATTTAGCAGATTATAAAACATCCCTGCAGGCCCCCTTTCATGTTTGTTTTGTCGAATTGGAAACCCAGAAGGAAATGTTGTGCTGACCTCTGCTGCCGCTGCAGCGGTGGTGTCATGTGAGGAGCTGGGAGGTGACAGGTTGCCCCTGACACTGAACACCAGAAAGCTGTCAGTGAGCTCAACGACGTGCTTAGATTTCTTCAACACTTCCTGTTGATCTACAGCACAATGCATCATAAATTCATGCATGTATACAAAATTATATTCATGTCTGTGTGTGCACGTGTGCAATGAAATTATATTATTGTGGATCCTGGACGAGCTCAGACTTCTGCGTAAATAATCACGGAAGTTCTGTATGGAAATAATCATCCAATGCAAATAGGGAAGCAGTGCTGAGTTCCAGGTAAAACTCCAGAGACCGAGATTGCTTCATGGTTGACATATAATTTAGTTTCAGACCTGCTCGGAGTCACATGAGGACCAATTACTTGATCCTTATGTGACCAAGTAATTGGTCACATAAGCATCAGACTCCACCTCCAGCAACAACTAATCTTTATCTATGCAAACAAGAAGATTATATGGCAGTTTTTACAATCTATTACCTTTACCCAGAGCTCCACTTACAAAAAATCTTGAACTATCCCTTTAAAACTAATGACTGAAAAGCAAAACCAAGATTACCTCTATGCTTGAGTTATATTGGCTTAATAATTCCCAAGCTATATAACAGTACACTGCCTGACAACTCGCTCTTTGGTTTTGTCTTCTTTTAGTTACATAACAGAATTTTGTTGTGTGTAGAAACTGAAATAATCATAAGGTTGTACAATAATTTAAACTGCTAAGCATTTTAGAACATTAGAATATACCTTTATTTCTAATAATCGACTGCACCGCTTTAGCGTGACACCTGCATAACAAAATTTTGGTTGCTATTCCTAAATTTCTACCTTTTAGTTAGCACCTGTGTGGACGTGCAATGAACATTTTTCTGAGTAATATGCCAATAAGACTCATTATATTTTAATATTTGCTCCAGCTTGATCATTTACATTCCTACTTGTATTTCAGTATCATTCTGAATCAATCAAGTTATGCAGTAGTTTTCGTTATGTAAAAAAACAGATTTTACTCAGCTTTATAACAGTGTAACTGTTTGTTTTAGATTATCTTTTACAGTCCATTGCTCTTTGCCACTCTGTCAGTTTTCAGCTGCTCTTTATGGCGTTTGGCAGCCTGAGTTAAGTCACTTTTCAGATAAATTTCCCGTTTCCATTCGTCAAAGTCGAAGAATATGCAGACTATATGCTACTACAATATTAATAACAACATTAATAATAACAAACACAACAATAAAAATAATAAGTTTCAGCATTTTCTTTTTTCACATAGTCGTGTACGTTTTGAAGGACATGTTGCAGGTCTCCCATGCTTCTTAAAGCAAAGTCACAACACAAACAAACAGCAAAAGAAAGTCTTATGTTTCTGTACCTTTCTGATATTTGAACGCTATGCTGTAGACATTATCAGCCTCTCTCGTTAATGGACCGCAGTCTCCTCCGCCGGACCGTCTGTGAACACGGAAAAACCTCTCTGTTTTCTTTTTGTTCTTCTCCGAAAGAAGCCTGTGACACTCGAAAAAAACGGGGTACTGGTAATTGTCTGCCATAGTTATGGTTTCAGGTTCGAATCCCTGACAGTATGTGCTTCCTTATGAGACGACGAGACGTCTCAAATGTACTCCAGAGCTGCGCCCCCTAGTGGCAACAATGAAGACAACTGAGGTAGAGAGACGTCACAGCTGTCATATCAGTAAATCTTTTTTTCTTTTTCTAAATAACCTTTAATCTGAATGTCGCAGGAGGAAACCAAACCCCGAAATATTTCTAATAAAACACTTTCAAAATATCTTGCTCAACTAAGAGTTTAATAAACTAATAAAGTTTATTTTTTATAGCACACTTCAGTAACAAGGCAACTCAAAGTGCTTTATAACACCACACAGTAAACATATTTTGCCAAGTGCTGTCATTACAAATCAAAATGTTGGTCACTGTTTCTTTTATGATGGTTAAAACTCACCAATAAACAGCTGGGCTTTTAGTCTAAATTTAAAGGAAATCAGTGTTTTGCCTGTTTTGCAGTTTTCAGGAAGTTTGTTCCATATTCATGGTGCATAGAAGCTGAATGCTGCTTCTCCATACTTGGTTCTGGTTCTGGGATGCAGAGCAGAACCAGAACCAGAAGACCTGAGAGGTCTGGAAGGTTGATACAGCAGCAGATCTTTAAAGCATTGTGGTTCTAAGCCATTTAGTGATTTAAAAACTAAACAGTATTTTAAAGTCTATTCTCTGAGCTACAGGGAGTCAGTGTAGGAACTTTAAAACTAGTGTGATCTACTCTGTCTTCCTGGTGTTAGTGAGAACACGAGCAGCAGCATCTGGATCAGCTGCAGCTGTTTAATTTGTTGGACAGACCTGTGAAGACGCTGTTGCAGTAATCAGTGTGACTAAAGATAAACACATGGATGAGTTTCTCTAGATCTCACTGAGACATAAGTCCTCTAATGTTCTTTAGGTGACAGAAGGCCAACTTTGTGACTGTCTTAATGTGACTCTGAAGGTTCAGGTCAGATCATAAGATCAATAAAAACAGGTACTTCAAAGAGAAATGTCAGGCTTCTGAACGCTATATTAATTTCTATACACTCTAGTTCACATAAATTATTGCAGTCATGTGGCGTGCCATGGCAACGAAATGAAAACCCAAGTTGTTTTGATGGGTTTGCCGACTCAAATTCCTTTTGACAATCATGTCAGGCCGGTTTGCTGCCCTTTAGAGCACAGTAACACCATGGTCATTGAGTCAGCATTTCACATCTTTTGGCAGTGACCTGCTGGAAAATGAAACCAGAATCTCCATAAACCCTTCCAGCAGAAGGAAGCATGAAGTGCATACGCGTGCCGTGGGAGATGAGGCGTAGCTGTATTGTATACATACAAAGCCCACTGAAGTACTCCATCATGTCTAGTGTTTGCACATTGCTTTAGCTGGCTGGGGAATATTATTTTACAATAAAGTGGATACATTTTTGTATATTTTAAAAATTCTGAATATGTCATAGTGTAATAAATATATAAATTCACATCACTTTATAATCACAAATTAGGGATAACATAAATAAAGTTATTTGCATGTAAATGTTTTATATATTATATAAAACACACACACACACACACACACACAC